GAAGGTTCCTCTGATGGTCAGTAACTGCTCTGCTGCTGAAGGTTCCTCTGATGGTCAGTAACTGCTCTGCTGCTGAAGGTTCCTCTGATGGTCAGTAACTGCTCTGCTGCTGAAGGTTCCTCTGATGGTCAGTAACTGCTCTGCTGCTGAAGGTTCCTCTGATGGTCAGTAACTTCTCTGCTGCTGAAGGTTCCTCTGATGGTCAGTAACTGCTCTGCTCTGCTGCTGAAGGTTCCTCTGATGGTCAGTAACTGCTCTGCTGCTGAAGGTTCCTCTGATGGTCATTAACTGCTCTGCTGCTGAAGGTTCCTCTGATGGTCAGTAACTGCTCTGCTCTGCTGCTGAAGGTTCCTCTGATGGTCAGTAACTGCTCTGCTGCTGAAGGTTCCTCTGATGGTCAGTTACTGCTCTGCTGCTGAAGGTTCCTCTGATGGTCAGTAACTGCTCTGCTGCTGAAGGTTCCTCTGATGGTCAGTAACTGCTCTGCTCTGCTGCTGAAGGTTCCTCTGATGGTCAGTAACTGCTCTGCAGCTGAAGGTTCCTCTGATGGTCAGTAACTGCTCTGCTGCTGAAGGTTCCTCTGATGGTCAGTAACTGCTCTGCTGCTGAAGGTTCCTCTGATGGTCAGTAACTGCTCTGCTCTGCTGCTGAAGGTTCCTCTGATGGTCAGTAACTGCTCTGCTGCTGAAGGTTCCTCTGATGGTCAGTAACTGCTCTGCTGCTGAAGGTTCCTCTGATAATTTCCCTCAGTGTGAACATGGAGTGGAATAATGACTGCTGCTGATCCTCCAGCAGGAGGAACATGAATCAGTCCGTCTCACTGGGGTTAAGTGGGGGTCACATAGATCTATACACTGATTCTGGGCAGATAGAAACCCATTAAAGTGGGCTGAGGTGTAGATGGAGACAGGAGATTGGAGCACATTCTGTGTTATTGCTTCAAATCAGGGTTAAACCATCGATGTTTCTCTAAGGAACGGAGAGGAAGTCTGATCCAGCAGACAGAGCCGCTCTTTAAACTGATGACCAGAATGGACCCTGCAGGGTTCTGATTCTGGTTTTATAGCTCTGGGAGGGAATATACTCCTACTCTCTCCTTTTGACAATATCAAACATTTACAGTGTTAAACTGTAAATATTTTCATAATAAAAGTATTATTAATACATAATTTATTATAATATTTAGTATTTTTGTACATGTTGAATAAAGCGTTGAGTGAAGCACAGGGTTCCTGATTCTGATCTTTCCATGTCTGAACAACACAGATCCGGTTCTTTCCAGTGAGACCCAGACCACCAGGCTCTGTGGTCCACCTGGACCATCAGAGGAACCTGAGTCCCAGATTAATCTTTTCACATGTGACCTGAACGGCCAGGTCACAGTCACCTGAACCTCATTAATACTCAACAAAGGCCACTAATCTGCATCTCGCTTCACAGAAGCAGGAAGAAAAAACATCCATCATGGCGGATCTTTATTTTCCACATTTTTTGAAAAGGTTGAGTGTGAATTAAAAGAGATTCAGCAGAATGTTCTCCTGTTGATGTTGAATTAATATTTCCATCAGATGTTTCTCCTCTTGCCTCCATCACTTGTTCTCATTTACTGCTTCGGATTAAATGATATTTCTTTTTAGTTTGTTATTATTTTCATTGTTTTGAAGTTGTTTTTCTTGTGAGGAGAGAACTAGATGATGATGATGATGATCAAGCAGGGGAAGGTTTCTCCCAGGAAGGACCTGCTTTTATCCAGCTATGCTGCTGCAGGTGACTGATCACCGCCCCCAATAAACCTGCCCCCCCTTTAATACGTTTTAAACTTCTCCTTTGAAGTCTGATAGTAAAGGATGGGGGACAGAAAGGTCCAGGTAGACATTCAGCGAGTCTCATTCTCCATCTGTGTCTTCTCTCCTCTTGTGTTTATTGATTATTATTATCATTAAACCCTAACAGGTTCTGGGTTCGAGTCCCACTCCCACACACTGCCACTCTGGGTCCCTGAGCAAGACCCTTAACCCCCCACTGCTCCCCAAGGGGATGGGTTAAAGGATTACTCCAGTGTGAGATCAATAAAGTTAAAATATTATTATTATTATGACCTTCCTCCTCCTCATCCTCATCCTGTCTTCTCATATTAGATGCACTCAGTTTTTACGCAGAGCGACCGACTGTGAAACCAGGAGGCAGCTCTTTATTCCTGCAGCTCTCCATCATTCGCTCCTCCTATCATCCTCCCTTTTATTCTGTAAAGATGGAGGGAGGTGGAGACGCTGAATAGTGAGTTCTTGGCGTCCCTCCAGCTCCCATTTTCAACAACTGGGGACATTTTAATGGTCTCTGCCAGTGAGCACGCTCAGAGATGAATGTAGGAATGTTTCTGCATTTATATTTCTGTCTGCGACTGTTTGCTCAGCGCTGCGCGGCGCACCATCTAAATAAATTCATCAGATGATGAAGTCAGAGGAACGTGTTTGCCTTCCTCCTGGGAGAATGGGAATTATTGCAAATGAAATGGCGGAGAAGACCGGAAGGAGGTGCTGGAATAAGGAGGAACATAAAAAGCAGGAAGTAAACCTCCCTGTGTCACACGATGAAGAGCCGAGCAGGACAGGAGAATCATGTGACGAAGGTCACATCAGAACATCTCAGAGCTGCTCCAGCTCCAGCAGCTCTGTCACCTGGACCTTCTGGGCAGCTTCTCTCCAGCAAACAACCCACAGAACAAGGAGAAGGTCAGGAGGCAGCAAGGAGATCAGAGGAGAATCAGAGGAGGAGGGACGGCAGGTTGCACGCCGCAGAAGGAGCTGAAGGTTAGAGGAGGTGATGATTCCATCACTCATTTCCTCCCATGAGGTTCTGCTGGTTCCATAATCAGACAGGAGATCGAGTTTGCTCATCAGCATCAGCTCAGATCTTCTGGTTTAGGTTCTCCTCGCATTTACTAACATCTTCAGTGGATTTGAACTTGCAGCTCTTTGTTTTCAAACCCAGAAGATTCCAGGTTCCACCAAAGAGGAAGCAAAGTCCATCCTTCCTTCCTCCACAGCATCAGGAAGGAGAGGAGCAGCTTCGAGATGTTTCCAGGCGTGTTCCAGCAGAGTCCAGTCAGAAGAACAACAGTTTAACAGGAACCAAGGACCAACCAAGGACCAACCAAGGACCATCTAAGGACCAGCCAAGGAACAGCCAAGGGCCAACCAAGGACCATCTAAGGACCAGCCAAGGAACAGCCAAGGGCCAACCAAGGACCATCTAAGGACCAGCCAAGGACCAGCCAAGGACCAGCCAAGGACCAGCCAAGGACCAACCAAGGACCATCTAAGGACCAGCCAAGGACCAGCCAAGGACCAACCAAGGACCATCTAAGGACCAGCCAAGGACCAGCCAAGGACCAGCCAAGGACCATCTAAGGACCAGCCAAGGACCAGCCAAGGACCAGCCAAGGACCAGCCAAGGACCAGCCAAGGACCAGCCAAGGACCATCTAAGGACCAGCCAAGGACCAGCCAAGGACCAGCCAAGGACCAGCCAAGGACCAGCCAAGGATCAGCCAAGGACCAGCCAAGGACCAGCCAAGGACCAACCAAGGACCAGCCAAGGACCAGCCAAGGACCAACCAAGGACCATCTAAGGACCAGCCAAGGACCAGCCAAGGACCAACCAAGGACCAGCCAAGGACCAGCCAAGGACCAGCCAAGGACCAGCCAAGGACCAGCCAAGGACCAACCAAGGACCAGCCAAGGACCAGCCAAGGACCAGCCAAGGACCAACCAAGGACCAGCCAAGGACCAACCAATGACCAGCCAAGGACCAGCCAAGGACCAGCCAAGGACCAACCAAGGACCAGCCAAGGACCAACCAATGACCAGCCAAGGACCAGCCAAGGACCAGCCAAGGAAAGCAGGGAAATGTTGAATAGCTCATGCTGTATTTTTCCAGGACAACAAGGAAGGAAGGAACTCCCCACATGACGTGGAAGATATGATCCACAGTGTTACGTTCAAAATTGTAGGTTTATGATAAAGAAACTCTCTCTCTCTCACTCTACTCAGCAGAAGCCTTTTATTAGCAGATCATAACACATGGGTTGGGTTACAGAACAGTGTTCTTCTGACAAGGCAATTGATTGGGTCATAGGACAAAATGCTCCTCTTGATTGAATCACAGCAGGATGCAACAGTGTGACTTTGCCTCATGACCCAATGATTGAATCACAGGATAGCAGGATGCAGGTCACAAAATCTACGACCCTCTTGATGGATTCAGAGCACACAAATGTAGCATAATTTTATAATTATAACTCTAACACACAGTCATCCACCCATTTAAATTCAGCCACTAATTCCATGGTCTTTCCATGTAGACCCCAATGACTGAGGAAGTTGGAAGCGTTCCCACTGACAACATTAAAAAGGAGATAACTGAGGATGATGAAGCAGCAGAGGTTACAAACTCAGCAACTATAATTCTGCAGCTTGTCCAGAATCAAGAGGTAAAAGGAAGGTTTTAATGATAGCATAACAGAGCTGCTGAGGCTGTCGCTAGTCCAGAGACTAGCAGATTTCAGGTGCCCCATCCCAGTGGTCCCAGTCTGCTATCCAGTAACTCCAGCCCCCATCCTGCAGGCTGGAGCTCCCAAAGAAAAGCCTCAAAGTTCAGTTTTACATCAGCGTTGCTCAGCGCCTGAATGTTGAGGCGTTTGACGCCTCCAACGTTGCTGCGGCACGTCTGAGGACTGAATCACCGTGTGAAACCACACACACCGTTAGCATGACACACGCAGCACAAAGCACCCTTCACACCCCTCATGTTCACCACAGGAGAAAAACCACCAGGCTGATCTGCCGGACTCAGCCAGAAGCAGAGAAGTTCTACCTGAACCGGTTCCTCTGGGTCCCCTTCCTAAATCTGCTCAGTTATTGAAGCATCGCTAAAGGCTGAAAGCAAGAAGACGGAAGCTGCACAAACCAAAGCTCTGCTTCCTGTGGAGCTTCATCCTACCTTCACAGCTGCTGTGTCCCTCCTCGTAGCCCGCGCTGCAGCTGCACTTCCCGATGGGCACCAGCCACTCGCCCTCAGCGCTGCAGTGCATCCTGGGAGGGCTGTCCGTGTCCAACTCAGAGTTGTTGACACAGGCGCCGCGGACCTCCACCAGAGTGGCGAAGGCCGCCTCGGCCACCGTGTCGGGGAACACGGCCAGGTTCTGGACGGTTGCCAGGCAGCGTTTGTAGTAAACACGCACGGCCACCAGAGCGACGCAGGCGCCGACATCCTGGAAGGCCAGATGGAAGCCCTTCCTGTTCAGGTGGCCGATCTCTCGCACCTCAGTGTTCAGCTTCATCTTCCTCTCTCCTAGGTCGCCCTGAGTGAAGCTCTCATCTGCAGCGATGGTATCGATCTTGGTGTAGCGGTCCTCCCGTGTCACCCCATCCAGGTCCCGGTCCGACTCCACGTACAGAAGATTGAAGGTCTCCTTGCAGGTCCCGGCCACGCCGGGGATGCTGTTACAGTCACGCAGCGTGAACTGAAGCTCCACAAAAATGCGCTGTCCTCCTCGGCGGGTCACCCAGCCCGTCTGCAGCCAGTTGTTCTGCTGGGTGGGCTCCATCACATTGCACACCTGGTAGGTCCGGATAGGTTTGTACTTCTCGTCCACGCCGCTGATCTCCTCCCACTGAGAGATGAAGACAGCAGTGGGAAGGAAATTGTTAAACACGGCCTTAGAGACACCAAAGACACCTTTACTGTCAGCTTGGACTCAAACATTGATCTGCTCCTTATTTCAGCAAACAGAAAACAAACGGAGAGGAGATCCATCCGATACAGGCTTTAAACTTTTTTAAACTTATTCCTCAGTAAGAAATCCAAAAAGAATAATATTTCTGTTGTTCTTTGAGATTCATTGTTTTCATAAGCAGCAATGTGAACATCTGCACCTGTGGAAAAAACTAAAAATATCAAAGTTTTGTTAAAAACATTTCATCTAAAATCATCTGTATGTGACCAAAAAACAGAACCTAGAAAGGAGTTTATTCATCAGTGAAACGACCTGAACGACTGAAGCTCAGAAGAAGAACTGCTTCATGAGGATTTCTCATGAAGCAGCTGCCAGTGAGGACTGATGATCAGAGATCATGAGGTAATAAACTCCACTCCAATGCGTTGAGGAACCACAGCAGCTGGAAGGTGAACCTGCAGCTGACAGCAATATAATCAACCCACACCACCTGGAATGCATTTGTTGGCCCAAACGGCGCCTCTGCGTGCTGTTCATTTATTCCACATCCAATGTGTGTGTGCAGGCTGAGGTCAGGTGGGAAGCGTGTGACAAACTGTGATGGCAGAGGGCCATTCTTTAAAAAAAGCCCATTTGTCTTGCAGCCATAACTTATCACAAATGATATCGATCGACACGAAGGGGAACATTTATCTGCAGCAGCGGCCGTGTGGCTGTTTGGACCTGCCGTACACCAGCCCAGATTACAGCCATTGATTAATGGAGACGATAAGCTGTGAGGGGAGGCGAGGATCAGCTGTGAAGTGGAGCCTGCAGAGTGTGAGACGGAAGAATGAACAACTACAAGCAGACTTACTCCGTTGGGGGGATAAGAGGTCCAGCCGAGCTCTGCCTGTGTCTCCTTGGAGTTCAGCAGCACCACTGCAGGAGAAAAACACAGATAGAGAAAAAAGTAAACACATCAGAGGGAGGCTCCTTTAGGAGAAAAACTCAACATCCGTGAGGGCAGCAGGAAGCTGTCCGGTTTACTGCCTTAAATGGGAGTACTACGGTAAGTACGTCCAAATACTCTAAGACCCACAGTGTTCTGCTGGCTTTGGGGGCTCAGGGATTGGACCAGGCTCAGAAGGTTCTGGTTCCTGCCTGGTATGTTTGGGTGTCTCCTGCTTGGTACCAGCTGTAGGATCAAGGTGCCCTCCCTGCACTGATGCTGGATGCTTAAGGATTCTTTGTCAATTATGAGGCGTACCTAAAATTCCACAGCAGGACGGGTGAAAATACTACATATTAAACCAATTAAATAATAATTATAATATTTGAAAATAATAATCAATTAAACAGGCTGATTCTTCCTGGAATACTATCATGGTGTGGAATGGGGAAGCTGCTAGTTTCAGGACCACGGACAGAGAAACACAGCCAGTGCAAAACGTCCTGTAGAAGGAGGGCGTTTCAGGACCACGGACAGAGAAACACAGCCAGTGCCAAACGTCCTGTAGAAGGAGGGCGTTTCAGGACCACGGACAGAGAAACACAGCCAGTGCCAAACGTGCTGTAGAAGGAGGGCGTTTCAGGACCACGGACAGAGAAACACAGCCAGTGCCAAACGTGCTGTAGAAGGAGGGCGTTTCAGGACCACGGACAGAGAAACACAGCCGGTGCCAAACGTCCTGTAGAAGGAGGGCGTTTCAGGACCACGGACAGAGAAACACAGCCAGTGCCTAACGTGCTGTAGAAGGAGGACCGTTTCAGGACCACGGACAGAGAAACACAGCCAGTGCCTAACGTGCTGTAGAAGGAGGATCGTTTCAGGACCACGGACAGAGAAACACAGCCAGTGCCAAACGTCCTGTAGAAGGAGGGGCGTTTCAGGACCACGGACAGAGACGCTGCAACCCCATATCTGTAATCTAGATGGCTCATTCAGGACCACGAATAGTGAAAGATTTGGCTCCACTGAAACTTCTGCAGTAAAGAAACAGGAAGTGAAACTGCTCCAGAATGTAGACCAATGAGAACCAACAGAACTAAAGCTGGTTCTGGTGGAGGAGAAGTTTATAGTCATAGAACCAGACAACCTGACATCTGTTTGCTTTCACACTCCTCTGAATGTTTTTAAGAGTGAATAACTTCAGTCCTCTTCAACACCTGATGCACAAACAGTCCAGTCTGGTGTCGACAGACCATTACCTCGGTTCACAAATGCAGTGGTCATAATGTTATGACTGATCAGGTCAATAAGTTCTATGTTTCACTAACTCGTTGGACAGAACGCCTCCCAAACTGGGAATAGGGAACGTTGACACTGAGCCTGGTTCTGCTGGAGGTTTCTTCCTGTTCAAAGGGAGTTTTTCCTCTCCACTGTCGCTACAAGCATGCTTAGTGTGAGGGATTGCTGAAGAGTCAATGAGTCGATGCAATCAGCTGGTTTTCCTTAGATAGAAAACTTGGAATCAGTTTGATGATCTGGTTGAATTATCTCTATAAGGTGACCTGAGATGAGCTATAGAAATAAACTGAATAGAACTTAATTGAATCCTTCCTCACTAAAAGCGAAAATTTCAGCCCCGAGCTGCTTTGGCATCACAGTTTCTCCGTCCTCCACCATCATGGTCGTATTTTTGAGCAGCAGAGTCAGTTGCTTTGTACAAATCTGGTGAGTCAGGAGCTGCAATCTCACTGAGTCACATCTAACGACACAAATCTGTGGTGATGCATGTAAAGCAAGTTCAGGGTTGAAAATAAAGCTGTCAGTGTACCGACTGAGCTGACCCCTGGTGTCATCTCTGAGTCAGAGGGAGAAAGGCTGCTGCGACGGGACCCACAGAGACTGATAACAGCACAAGGACTTGTTCCTCCTCTTGGATCCGCTTGAAAAGGAGACAGAGGATCATTGGACAGAGTGCAGGGACCAGGAGAGATCCTTTAAACGCTTCACTTTTGGAGGTTAACACCAGCGGGCACCCAAAGCTCGGCTCTGTGGTTCACTGATAACAAGGAGGCATTTGGAGAAGATTAGAGAGTAAGAAGGCAGGGATGTTGGAGAAACACAGAGGCCGAAGGGAAAGAGAGGAGTAGAAAATAATCAGTGAAGGAGGCTGAAAGAGAAACATGAAAGGGAGACTAGAAAGAAAGAAGCTGGCAAAGGAGAGCAAGAAAAGAAAGAAGCGAAGCAAACAGATAATTCACAGAGGAATCAGTCAGACAGACATTCAGAGCTGCAGCTATGATCACTCTGTGAATACAGCAGCCCTGTAATCAAAGCCTCTTTCAGCACACTAATGGGTCTGCAGGGCCAGGAGGGCCCAGAAACACTGGGGGGGGGGGGGACAGGTGAGGGACGGGGGGAGGAACAGGTGAGGGACGGGGGGAGGAAAGCTGAAATAAAGAAAGAAAATGTTTTCTTTCCTCTCAATGAGCTCTGATCTGAAAAGCTCTTCACACATAATTGTCCTTCATTATGGAGACAAAGGAGGTCTGAGCTTCTTCCAATGAGCCTTTTTAACAAACACCTCAGGTTCTTCCTGGTCCCAACAGATGGTGGCGCTAGAGTTCGCTCTATGGCCTGCTCAGACTGGTTTTATTGGGACCGGCTGGAGCTGGAATCCTCCTCATTTCCAGAGACTTCCTCTCTGTGCTTTTGATGTGAATGAAATAATAAATAATAAAGAGACATTTCTGTCCAGCTCTGGAGCTTTGGACGGGGACAAACAGCAGCGGCTGGAAAGAAGCATTTCTAGATTCCATTCAGAGAAAACCTGAGATGTTAAAGCAGCAGAAACATAAAGCTGAAGATGTCCTTCAAACAGGAAGGGACGTAATGAGGATGTTTGCTTCTGCTTGCAGGTCATTCAGCTTTCATGATGTCTGCCTTTAAAATAGAACGACGGCTCAGGAAAGAAGAAGAAGGACTCTTTTCCTTTTCTGATGCGTTTTTAATCTAAAAGTTTAATATTGGAGGTTCTGTTAGATGAAGACAGAGTGGGTTCATTATCCAGAACCTGTGCTTGGAGCTTGGCTAGATCAGCTCCATGTTGGTCAGGGTAGTCCTCAGAAAGCAGATGGAGAAACAGAAGCCAAGAGATGCTGGACTAGAAGGGGTCAGTGAGGACATGGTCCACAGGATGATCTCCAGCAGGTCAGAGAAGGCCAGGGGTCAACGACAGGAAGGATTTCTAACATTAACATGACAGTTCTGGGCTCTAGAAATAAACACTTAGAGCAACCAGAAGCTGTAGCTCCCTCTGTCAGCGGGTGACTATGAACCCATCAGAGCGTTGGTTAGATGCTGAGAACAGATCAATCTGTGGATCATTTTCTACAAATGGTTAAAAACCAAAGTGAGGTAATAATCTTTGGACCAGAGGAGCAGAGATCCAGAGTTAGATCCCAGCTTCAGCCGCTGCAGCAGAAACCACTGATTATGGCTGAAACCAGGATGGACTCAGACCTGAACCTGCAGAGGCTCAGAAAGACCGTTACTGATCCAGATCACCTGAAGAACAGCTCCAGGATGATCAGCTGGATCTAGAAAAATATCTATAGCAGAACTGATCACTGCAACAGTGTCTTCATAGGTAGAACTAAGAAAGTAGATCAGACAGCTGATCCAGACGCTGCTGCCTGCGTCCTCACTAGAACTATAGAAAGTAGATCAGACAGCTGATCCAGACGCTGCTGCCTGCGTCCTCACTAGAACTATAGAAAGTAGATCAGACAGCTGATCCAGACGCTGCTGCCTGCGTCCTCACTAGAACTATAGAAAGTAGATCAGACAGCTGATCCAGACGCTGCTGCCTGCGTCCTCACTAGAACTATAGAAAGTAGATCAGACAGCTGATCCAGACGCTGCTGCCTGCGTCCTCACTAGAACTATAGAAAGTAGATCACATCAGCCCGGTTGTAAAGTCCTTTCACTGGCTCCCTGTAGCTCAGAGAATAGAATTTAAAATCCTTCTGTTAGTCTAGAAATCACTAAATAGACCAGCACCTCAATCCATAATAGATCTGTTGTCGGTGGATCTACCTCCCAGACCACTCAGGTCTTCTAGATCCAGCCTGCTCTGTCCACCCAGAACTAGAAGCAAACATGGAGAAGCAGCATCTATGCTCCACGGATCTGGAACAAACTCCCAGCAGCATCTATGCTCCACAGATCTGGAACAAACTCCCAGCAGCATCTATGCTCCACAGATCTGGAACAAACTCACAGCAGCATCTATGCTCCACAGATCTGGAACAAACTCACAGCAGCATCTATGCTCCACAGATCTGGAACTAACTCCCAGCAGCATCTATGCTCCACAGATCTGGAACAACCTCCCAGCAGCATCTATGCTCCACAGATCTGGAACTAATTCACAGCAGCATCTATGCTCCACAGATCTGGAACAAACTCCCAGCAGCATCTATGCTCCACAGATCTGGAACAAACTCCCAGCAGCATCTATGGTCCACAGATCTGGAACAAACTCACAGCAGCATCTATGCTCCACAGATCTGGAACAAACTCCCAGCAGCATCTATGCTCCACAGATCTGGAACAAACTCACAGCAGCATCTATGCTCCACAGATCTGGAACAAACTCACAGCAGCATCTATGCTCCACAGATCTGGAACAAACTCCCAGCAGCATCTATGCTCCACAGATCTGGAACAAACTCACAGCAGCATCTATGCTCCACAGATCTGGAACTAACTCCCAGCAGCATCTATGCTCCACAGATCTGGAACAACCTCCCAGCAGCATCTATGCTCCACAGATCTGGAACTAATTAACAGCAGCATCTATGCTCCACAGATCTGGAACAAACTCACAGCAGAATCTATGCTCCACAGATCTGGAACAACCTCCCAGCAGCATCTATGCTCCACAGATCTGGAACTAACTCCCAGCAGCATCTATGCTCCACAGATCTGG